TGTTAATGGTGGTGCGGTCATTGGTGGCAGTGACACCAGTCCCAGTCCCAGTCCCGGACATGGTTGTGCGATTAGCTGCTTGTGCTGGCGCTGGTGCCAGTGCTCCTGCAGCTGCCATGCTGGACGACGAAGACCTCGACGAGGTATTACTTCTGAAGAAGCCGAGCACCATTTTCGGAACTGTCGACCGTGCTCGGTTTGGTCGCAGTTGGGGTACGGCTCATCAGGACCAAAAAGCAATAATTACGACCGGTTGATCTTTACGGGGTACTGGCTTTTGACTTTTGACTTGATTGATTGATAGGTGTATGGGTCAGGATGTGATTCGATTCTGTTCCTTTGCCCCAGTCCAGTTCGGTCCAGCCCAGTTCAATAATTCTGTTTAATGCTTTTTGCTTTAGCAGGCAATCACTCTTACTAAACTATGGCAATCGTAACTGCTGAGTCGTTTATCTGTTTGCAATCAAAGGTCAAGGACCTCACCAGTCAGCACGTTTTTTTGGTTTTTATTTCTTGTATCAATATAACATTTTCCTTTTCTTTCTTCCTCTTTTCCAGCCAAAAGGAAAAAACAGTTTCATCCGATACTCCCCTGTTAGAGTGAGGGAAGAAAAGAATAGACAAGGAAAAGGAAGCTTTGTAAAAAAAAAAAAAAAAAAAAAAAAAAGGGACGTTGCGCGTTTTTTGTCCCAGCATGTGCTAAAATGCTAAACGTGATGCTGCAGGAGGTTCCATACCATACCATACCATACAAATCCAGACAAACCGACAGACAGATGTGGAGCAGAACAGATGCCTGGGTTATGTATGGAGTATGTACGTGTGCTTTCGAGTATCTGTGGATATTGATTGAAGAGCTGCAGGCTGACCTTGCTCCCAAGCTCTGGGCCTAGGATCACCGATGCAGAATGCAGAAATTCAACAGCATGCAAATCAATCCAACAGGACTAACTAGCACTGAGAGGGTCCGTCGAAAGTGGATTCAATCAAATGTCCGCTCTCGCACTGACGTATGTATTTCGTGTATGTCGAATTTTAATATATCGTTAATTGGTTTAGGATCAATGAATTCAAAACCTGTGTAGGGAAGGAAAAAAGTTTTTTTATTCCTTTTTTTTTTTTTTTTTTTTTTTTTTTTCCCTCTTGTCAAAGGTCAAGGAAAGGAGCAGAGAAGAAAATTCTTTCGTTCTTCCCGAAAGAAGCTTATTCTCGAATCGGCCTGAACAAGTACCCGAAGATGGTAGTAGCCTGTCTTGCCAGACAATTGCAACGCAATTTAAGTATATTGACTGGCCGACCAGCTACTGCCTGTCTCGTGCCTCTAGACGTGCCTGTTCCTGTTCCTGACCTCGTTCTCGTTCCTGCAGCAGGAGTCCCGTGCGCATTTATCCAATAGCCCAAGACTTATAGACCGACCGAGAGGAACAAGCAGGGCAGGCAAGTGGTCCGAGAAGGTCAGGAAGAAAAGAAAAAAAATATATAAAAAATAAAAATCAAGATGGAATATAAAAAGGGTAAGAGAGATGACTGACGAAGAAAGCACAAAAAAATAAAATAAGACAGAAAAGCCGCCGTTGCAAGCTTTGATCGATTAATACAGTAATGAAACGATTACTACTTACTGGTTGATTACCTAGCCTATCGACTAGACTATTGATGGCTCTACCCGATGCCTCCTTCCAGATTCGATCCAGAGGTCTATGGTACAATATTCCACACGAGCGAGCAAGCAACTCTGGGCGAGATACTCAAAAGGGAGACGGTTGTGGGAGGGATTAATATTCAACCCCACGGATCACGGTTCTTGCGTCTTTCTGAACCGGGTGAATGGGATCTAATATACTCTAGCCTAGGAAGGTTCGATTTTGTCGTGACAAAAACCCCAATGGTTGCCTGAAGGCAGAGATAAACGGGAAAGAAAGGCGTTGGATGAGGTTGGATTCGAATTCGTTGATTGATTGATCAATCGTTGATGGGTCGATGTTCGATTGCTGATGTTGTTGATGGATGGATGCAGTTGCTCGCGATGGGAGCTCGGGAGTAGAAATGGATAGAAGAGGAAGATATTATTAATTAGGAGCTAGCTGGAGCTTCGCAAGAGTAAGAAGAGTAGGGTAACTGTTATTTTTGATGTTGGTTGTCCGCCTCTCTGTCGAGAAATCTGTTTCGAGGCTGCACGCTTTCGATTCTGACGTTCACGATGGTTTTGCTAACATGTTCTTACGATTCAGCAACTCAATTGCCCAACTGTTGATTTAGGTCTTGAATCCAATCCAGTCCTATTCAATTGCTGCATGCAAACCCCAAAATTAATGCAATGCAGACCTCCGGCAAACTGTCGGGTTTAACTGCCTAGCAGCCGTCGAATACCAGAAGGTTGGTCCTACGTCAGGAAATGAGAAAGAAATCAAAGAATGCAGTCAAATCAGCCAACCTGCGACGTGCCTGAATTCTTTTTGTCCCTTTCACGATGTGTCATTGCACTGAGTCGCTCTCGCGCCGAAATACTACTCTCTTCCTCATTTTTATTACTTAACAACTTCTAATCGGGGCCCTTTTCTTCTTTCCATTCTTATTTTCCCACCTTTCAAACCAAAAAAAAACGGAAAAGGCTAATACCCGTCGCTCAGTGGACAGAGAGTCCATTGACAAGCAAGGGTTCATCCTGTTCACTTCAATTCGTTTCCCCCATCCGAAATACTTTACGGCCCTATCACTCTGCAACGTTGGGGCTCCTTTGGACCTGGCAAAATCGGTCACTCTGGCTTCTCTAGCTTGGTGGTCTGACCCGATGGCTCGAAAAGCCACCCGGTGAACAAGTTTTTTTTTTTCTTTTCTGTCTTGACTTTGTCCGCGGTGAGGGCTCCTCGATATCTGGAGATAACAACCGCCAGGGCTGCAGTCCATGCATCTTTGTTTATCTGCAGGCGTCCTCCTTACATTATTGGTATCAGAGCAATCTTCCCTCGCAGCCTGAGTTAAACATTTCCCAGCAAGTATTGGAACCCCCCAGCCCTCGACCACCCTCCATCTTGTAATTATTTGTTTCAGAATTTGACCCCCCAAAGGAAGGATTCACATGTTTTTGCCCAACATGTCAACATCGATATCTACAAACCTAGATGTCGAGGCTTTTTTTTTTTTTTTTTTTATTGTTGGGCACAAACTAACGGGAAGATGCAACCCGCCCGGCCGATTGTCTGGAGGACTTTACACAAGAATTCCAAGCTTTTTTTTCTTCACCACCCTTGACACATGCACAAACAGAATTAAAAGTGTCACCGAGGAATTCTAGAATCCCGAGAGCCCGCCATGACTAAGAATAGCTCTTTCTTTCTTTGCTCTCCTGTTATGGCGCCATACAAGGGTTAGCACTTCTCAGCCTTATCGGCCTTAGCTTTTGTCCGTTACCCGTAACCTCTTCAGAAATGGTGTGGTATTCAACTGCTGAGTATTTATAAGCAATCGTCACCCCATTTCCCTCGCCACCAGACTGCATAGCGGATAAAACATCATGAAGAGGATGGAGAATAGGATGAAAGCTCATAATCGCCTTCGCGATGGTTGCATGTTGCATAAATCCGAAACTTTGGCGAAGAAGAAAATTCCACTGTATCGAATAATATTGCTAAGCTAAGCTTACTGCTGCAGTACACTTTCTCTCTCGTTTGGACTCTCGTGTCACCATAATCTATAAAAATCGGGCCGAAAGGGAATATGATGCACGCCCTATAACACAACCCAGATATAGCTAGGTATATTGGCCCTTCCGATTGGTACGATCTTGTGCGATATGGCGTACATAACTCAACTTAATCTCTCTCTTTTCCCTTCCTTTCTTTTTTCTTATTTGGCAAACTGAATGAACCATTCGGTTTGTACGCCGGGTTACGCGGTTCCTTCTTACCACAGGTAAACCTGGGATTCAATCGATGGGTCAGACTAGGGGGTACTTCCTTGAACTTGGGGATTCGGAAGGCCCGAGGGGCGCGGGCGTCTACCGTATGACATGCAGCTCGTATAAGATGCGTCTCTACTCTCGCATCGAGCATTTATACTGAACCATGGGGTGGCTTTGTGGAGGTTTTATTTTCATACGGGGTTCGTGGGGGTTTAGCGAGTGAGGCTTCGCCTCAGGTGAAACCCTGGGGCCGAGTTGATATCATGGTCCGGTGAATGCTATAATATTATTATTATAACATCGTGGCCATTCTGGGGCTCTGGGGGCTTCGCCGTAGATTGAGTCATCATGAGCAAGGGACGTGCGGTCCATGCATACCGGTTTATTTTGATCTGATCTGACCCCCAGTGGCAAGCCCGGGTTTTTACAAAATAGCAACCGAAACCGATACAAGGACCTTCCAAGATGGCTCCCTCCCCGAGACGAAGTCTGAATAGAACGTTGGAGATACCGTGTTGGGTCTATTCGGGTTAACAAATTCGGTTTCCCGGGAAAGCTGGGCAAGTTGTGTATGACCAAATCGAATTTTGGAACAAGGAAAGACCGTCTGACTACGATTAAGTTTCGCTATGCAGGTTCGATCCCTGCTTAGGTCATTCTCCCTTTTGTTTTTTATTCTTTTGGTCCTCGAGTTTATCAAGCCCAGAAGTCTATGGAGCTCAAGCGAGCCAAAATCTTTTTTTCAAGCCGAAATATTAGACTATATAAAATGTAACAATGGTCAACACGATGCAACGACCTTAGTAACCCCATATTAATATCACAGAATAGATAGTATTTCCTTAATTTATTATACAAAGCTCAATAAAGAGCGTCTTCCCTATCATAACAGTCTTTCCTAGGCCTTAAGCCCTTAAACATCTAACAATCTGTTTCCCTGTAGCCCTTCCGAAGAGCTCTACCCTGGACGTTTCGGTAGGACAAACCCTTCCTAATATAGCAAGGACATCGATCTAGGCGAAGAAAAAAAAAATTGGATGCTATCAAGAGGATAACAGCAGGTCCCATCGAGATGGGAAGCAAAAGGAAATTCCTGAGATGACCTACGCAGGGATCGAACCTGCAATCTCCTGATACCGACTTAAGAAATCGTAGTCAGACGCCTTGCCATTGGGCCAGCAGGCCTCAGTCATTGGATGAGTGGTCTTGTCGACTGCACTGTAAGAATATGCCCTCGATCATTCGAGGATTTGGACCGATCCGGAGTTTGAGGTCTGAAGTTTGAGGTTTTCCATGGTGCCAGACCAGGCGGTTCAGTCATATGTGGTTGTTTATTCCTATGGTCATTTTTTCCCAATCGATAGAGCGAGTCTTCTGAAGAGGAAATGCATCTCACGGTATTGACACTGATGGCTCTAATCCGATATCAAGTCAAGTCAGGATGATAAATGGGGAGGTGGCGTTCGTTGTGTTCATTGTTGAAGGATATCCTTTAATATATTTCATACTTGGGTATCAGATAAAGATATAACCAGAGAGTGTCTGGATGAATAATGATACAAATGATAAATGTTAATGATGATAAGACCCCGCCATTATCATACCCGATGCTTAGGCTTGGGTTTCCTGGCCCTCTGGCAGAATAACCATATCCGGAATTACTATAATGATATCCTCGGCCCCCTTCATTGCGGTCGCTCTCCTGCCCCTCCTCATTCTCGAGGTAGCACCACCTTCGGTTTGTGAATCAACGCTGGCAAATGTGATAGTAGCCGTCTGTGCTGTCCCCGTTGCAAAATCCGCAGTCGCATCCTGCAATTCCAAGCTGCTCACAAAAGGACCAGGTGAAATATCATCGGCAGCCTTCGAGGCCGACGCAACGGCCGTTCCGCCAATTTGTGTAACCGTCTTCCCGTCCTTCCCCATGCCACTTATTTGTGCGGTAGCTTTACATTCTACCTGTGTGCACTCATGTCCGTCTAGAATACTCTCGCCTTCTTTGGAGGAGCAGCAAAAGAAACTGAAAGACTGCAGTCTCTTGTCCGCGGGGAGTGTGATCTCCCCGCCAGAGGGCGCGCTTTTGGGGTCTATAATTGCTATTGTTGTAGAGGGTTTATCGGCGGTTGGGTGTAGCAGACCATTTGCATCCGCCATCACCCCTTCGTTTCCGTCAGTGCCCAGAGGCTGGGTGGCCATGCGGGCCACTTCGATATTTTGGAACTTGATGCCCCCGAAGTCTCCCAGGGGAACTGGGGCTGCAGCTGTTGATGGAATAACCAAGTTTCGGAACTGAGTTTTAAAAAAAATGTTAGCTTTCAAGGTACTTCTGGGAGGTGGTCAGATGCTTTTGCATTATAAACGACGGTTACTTACGTCTAGAACCGAGCTTGCAGCTGATATAGCTGTTGTGCCATGGTAAAGAGCACTCAATGCGATGTAGAAAGCTGGAATTGATGCTGATTTGAAGTGCATGATGGGCAGTGATTTTTATATAAAATAAAAATAAAATAAAAAGAAGTAATGAAACGAGTGTCAATACAGGTGGAGTTCAGCTCAACAGCCTGTGATAAGTATATCTAGATATAATCAAAAGGATGATTATTATATCGAGTATAGATATCTACGAAATATATATAAGACCACGAAAAGAATGTAAGTCTGCCGTTTCAAACGTGCACTGCACTGCAGAAAGAAGAGAGAGAAAGAGAATTCGAATATCTCCTCCAGATCTTTGATAGTTATATAGAAAACCCCCAAGCCAACAGAAGAGTAAAAAATCTCCGTCGGTGGAAGGAGACTGGTATTTCAACCTGAGGTCCCCAAGCCTCCCTGCATAATAATGAGAGGGGTGGGAGCTTAACAGCTCGATTCCGCAGTCAGGTGGCACTGAAGAGAGAAAAAAAGGCGCGCCCCCTGGATTCGGGAATCGCTAGAACCACAAGCTAAGCCAAGGGGGTGGCGAGTGAAAGTCTTAGTCTAAAGATTCTGAATCTCTTGGTACAGGTTATTCTGTTTCGTTTTACTACTTTATTGGGGCCCTTAGACGGGAAGGGCATGCTTGTTTTAGACTGTAACGCAGTATGCATGGCTAGAATGCGCGCGAATGCAGGTGTTAGAATACCACATCGACCGGATTTGGTTAGATATCTCGGCATGGCGGGGTCGGGAAAGGATAGGGCGGGCGGGTATAGGAATGGATGTACACGACTATGATGTATCGTGTACATATTTCTCCCAGCCTATCATATCGAAGAAACCGTGGCCTCGCGGGGCTACTTAGTCACACACATGCAGAAAATTGAAATTTTCCCTTTGACTTTTGAACAATAGGCTTATAGCGCGTAAAATCCATTGGCTAATAATGGCGGTTAAGCATATGGTATTAGAAGTGATATAAAAAAAATGCTATTCCTATTAAGCCAGTACCCGGTACACTAACTAAGGTAACAATAAGCCCTTGCTTAAATCGAGATCGAAAACTAAGTGTTATGTTAAGTGCTTAGCTTAGTTAAAGGCTAACTCGTAGATCCGCCGCCGCGCAATCAAGACCAATCCGTTGGCTCCAGTGGCCTTATTCTGTAACTTGGGTTTCAAAGCGCTTTCAGCCTTAGCTTGAGGGTTGAAAGGCCAGGGTGTTGGGGGTAGTGGGATCGAAAAGGTCGGATTGGGCCGTGATGAGGCTTCAACCACTGAAACCCTGCCGAGTATATCCCCTCCTGGCAGCTTAGGAAGCCCGGTCGGTACGATGCCCATAAGGAGGGGCAATCTGGGGAGACCCGTCAATAATGTTGACAAGGCTGGCAAGTCTGGAACCCCGGGTAGCTGCCGTTTTCCAAGACCACCAACGGGAGGTGCTTCAAATAAGACGCTGGTTACCCCTGTAGGGGATTCCCTCCCTCCTATCCCTCCTATCCCTCCGCCTCTGAGCCCACCTACCCCTCCCGCTAGGTTGCCGACAATGACGACTGTGCGTTGAAGAAGTCCATCTAGACCTGAGCCGGTTGCCGTTGGGGCTGCCACGAAAGATCTTTCAAATACAATACTTGCCCTGTGTATCCTTCCCGGTCACGGAGACGGTACACGGAACCGGCTGATCCCAGCTGTAGGATTGCTACTTTGGCAGTATATCAAATTGAGGAACTCTCGAGAAATCGGGCCAATGATTGATGTGATTGTCACCGCGGCACCGCCATTAGAGGGGTTTATGCCGGCATGCCGCTCAATATGGCAAACGGCTTGCTGACACTGAAAAGATTTCCGAGGGAGGATTCAGAAGGTTTAAAGACTGCGACTCCCTCCCATCGGAAGCTGGCGTAATTCGTAAGCCCGAGGGCCCTGTCTAGTGGATGGGCCAGATCTTGAAACCGTTGAAAAAGTAAAAGTAAATCGTTAGTTGATTATACTAACTAGCTAATTGGTTGTTTGTTTTTTTATTTATTTTTTATTTTTCTAAATTTTGGGATATAGCAATATGAGGCGAGCACTCCAAAATTTTTCGAATCTCACTTGTGAATCATCTCGTCGAGTCAATCGAGGGATCAGTAGTAAGCAGTAATCTTTAGATCTTATGTTGTTTGATAGTGCATTCCATTCTCTCTTCTCAGACGAGGATCTACCGTTGCAATTTATAGACAAAAATCACATATCTGCGGGTATGTCATCATTATCTCCATCATCATGTTGTCAGATTTCAGCCTTCAAATTCCCTTTGTAAAAATTTCCCTTGTGTGACTATTTAAGTTTTCGATCTTTGTTTATGGCTCAATCGTTCCACAAAGCCTGGTTAGCGTTTCGATATGAATCAGCCTCGTAATCATACTTTCTTCATCCGGCTGACCCTTTTTTCGTACGTGGATATAAGACCATGCTGAGGCGGTGTCAATGTATCTACAGATTTATAGTATGCTGAAAACCTCTAATAGGCTGCCATGGGACATGAAGGCAAACTCGTTCACCCCTACGAGGGAGCCGAGGGGCCAAAGAAAATAAAACTCATAACGAACCCCCAGGTTATCGAAAGCAGAATGAAGCTTTCGGGGCTGTAGGGCTGACATCGCCACCTCCCCGGTTTTACTTGTGTAACCAAGGGACATTGTTGCATTTTGAGAGCCGATTTCGCGTTGCACAAACAGGCCACGATCCGGCCATGGTCATGTTAAAGTTAGAAGCGTGGAAGTGGAGCACAGTTTTCGGATCGATTGATATATATATAGGAAATGTGGCAAAGATAAAAAGAGGAAGAAAATGGATATATACTAAACTGATTTGTAAATTTGGTATTATAACCTCTACCATGGTCGGTTTGCATTGCAATTTGATTGAAAACCGGTATCTCGAGTCAAACGTCAAGCCAACTAACCAACAGCCTCCGATCCCAGCCCAACAGCTGTAGACGGTTACACAGAAAGATTTAAACTTTATACCTTATTGATCAAGGATGTAACAGGTGATACAAGGTGTGCCTGTCGATCCTAGGTCTGTCGTTCTATACGGCAAGCTACCTTAACGGTCGCTCCTTTTATCGTAACCATATAGGATGTACTGTAGATCATATATTCACGATTAGGCTGGTTGCCATAGATAAAATCTTTTTTTTTTTTTAATGAGCTCATGATTTTGTATAGATTTCGTAATAATACACCAGGAGGAAAAACATCAAAGTACTCCGCGACAAACAGAACAAGGAAAGGATATAAAGAATATTCGCCACCAGGTTAGTACATTCTCGTTATGACAATAAGGAAATGTTTCATCCCAAAAAATGCACTACCGTGCGCCCACATACAACCACTGTTTTTTGAGATATATGTATAAAAAAAAGGATAGGAAGAAAAAGATGGAAGGATAGAACTAGCTAGCCTGATATAGACAATCAACTTTTTCGACAGCAAAGAGCAAAAGCATACAGGACAAGGGAAATGATGGCTTTTGATAATAACCTCCTGAAGAAGAAAATGGCGTTTCTGTCTCGAAGACGTTAGGAATCAGCGTAGGTTGAGGGCTCCGTTAATGGTTGAAAAAAAAAAAAAAATTAAAAAAATAGTTGAGGTCGTGAAAGCTTTTTTGCTTCTCGTATCGTTTATAGTCGTAGCATAACCGGAACATGCCTCGGGCCCTGAGGAAAGCCCCGGTCTTGTCGATGTGGCGAATACAGGAAATAAAAAAAGGTTATTGCGATCATCTGG